GCCATGCGGTATCAAACTCCATTAAAACAGAAGCCGAAAGTTAAAAATGAAACACCTGAAATTGCAGGAAACTCTGGAGGAAACGCTGGAGAGCCTGCTGATGCCACAGCAACTGTTTTATACTGAAACTTGCTTTCAAAAAGTGCTTGCTTGCTCTTATCTGTGTTTCTTTATACACTAAACACACGTCCACCACAACAGCAAGAAAACAAACCTGCAACTGCGTAAAACACTTTAACACGTTAATTATTTCAAATTAATTTTATGACGCACTAATTTGACAGCACTAATATATATATATATATCTCAAATATACATATGTATAGTGAGAGAGAGAGAGAGAGAGGTGGGGAGATTTAGAAGCTAATAAGTGCTAGAAGCTAAGTGTTATTACACACACACACACACACACACACACACACTAAGAGAAACAGCATGCATTTGTGTTTATGCTTGTGTGTTTGAGTGTGTGTGTGTGTGTTTGTTTTAGGCAAGGCAGTTTTGTTGTGTGTTTGTGGTGTGTGTGTGTGTGTGTGTGTGTGTGTGTGTGTGTGTGTGTTTTAGGCAAGGCAGTTTTGTTGTGTGTTTGTGGTGTGTGTGTGTGTGTGTGTGTGTGTGTGTGTGTGTTTTAGGCAAGGCAGTTTTGTTGTGTGTTTGTGGTGTGTGTGTGTGTTTTAGGCAAGGCAGTTTTGTTGTGTGTGTGTGTGTGTGTGTGTGTGTGTGTGTGTGTGTGTGTGTGTGTGTGTGTGTGTGTGTTTTAGGCAAGGCAGTTTTGTTGTGTGTTTGTGGTGTGTGTGGCAAGTTTTGTTTGTTGTCGTGTGTTTGTATTTGTGTGTGTTTTAGGCAAGTTGTATGTTTGTGTTGTGTGTTTGTGTTCATGTTAGTATTAATATAACAGTTTTAGAGATGGAGCTGTACAGACAGAGAGATAATAAAAGCTGTAAGTGTTGTTATCTTGCACACACACACACACACACACACACACATTGCAAGCATGCACATAAATCACTAGAGTGTGTTAGTAACACACACACACTTATATCTTACCCAAGAGAGACGCTTAACTCACACAATGATGCAGAAAACAGAAGAGAGTAAAACAACACTGCGGTTACTCAAACAGCATTAACAACAACAGTTATTACAGTAGTGCAGTCTGACACAGGTGTGTGTGTGTGTGTGTGTGTGTGTGTGTGTGAGGTTACCTGTCTCTGCAGGTGAGGTGTCAGGGTTCAGAAGCCCCTCCCTCTTCCTGTTCATCCTGACAAACAGAGAATGTGATTGGCTGACAGAAGAACTGACTCATTCAGAGCCACAACATTAAATTCTCCATCACACGAGTCTAGAAGAGGGAGAGCCGCAGCCCTGCAGTTCACTACCAACCCTGGTCCAACACACGTACCTGAAGGACAGGTGTGATTGATCAGGTGTGTTTGACTAGGGTTGGCAGAGCTGCAGAGCCGAGTATCCTGTGATCTAGAGCAGTGGTTCCCAACCTTTCCTATTCGAGACCCCCTTTCCCCTGGGAATGACTGTAGAGCCCCCCTCCACATGTGATGATGTCATCGCTCATTGAAGTTTGCAGTGATGATGACACAATTGTTGTTTTCAAAGAAACGGTGCGTTTATTATTATATCTAGATGTGTTTCTGCACACATAACAGCCTCATGTACAATATAAAGCAGAGCATCAGTAGGTGTTCAGCGGTTGTGAGATGATCATCCACCGTTTCCCCAGAGGATGACGAGCCCACAAAACAAGCTTATAACAGTTGTGGATTTTCATTAGTTTTAGTTTCTATTTCATTTAGACTTCTTGTTTTCAAACTCAGTCAGTTTTTATTAGTTTTAGAGGCAGATTTACTCGTTTTTATTAGTTTCTATATTTTTAAATGTCTTAGTTTTAGTTTAGTTTTCATTAGTTTCAGTTTTTTTCTAAATGAGGATATTTGTTTATATCAACAGGATAAATATTGTATTATTAAAAACGCAGTCAGACATTGTTTTGAAACCTGTATTTAGAGAACACATGAACACAACCACAACCATCTGCCCATCCTCAAACTCAGATACAGCAGCCTGCAGTACAGTATGAGTGCAGGGCTGCTCTGAGGTCAGACACACAGTAGTGATGGGCAGGCCGGAGTAACCAATGGGCATTATGGGCTCAGGCCAAGGGGCTCGTCCGCAATCAGATTTTGCCTAATCCTTATCATGAGGAAGACAAGTAGGAATCATCAATAAGTGTGTATTATGGAGGACTCAGATTGCTAGAACTGGATTGGAGAGGTGTTATATTCAAATCATGTGCATTATAAGTTTGTAGAAGTTATACATTAAAAATAGCCTTAAATATAAATGTTTAGGTCTGCTTCAGTGAACTTGAACAAGTTTATTAAAATCCATTAATTTCCTTTAGTTGTATTAGTATTAGTAAAGTGTGCTTTAACTGCTTTAAAAATAAGTGAAATCTCTGTAGACTAGTAATATATGTAGTGTTTATCATCTATTTAAAAATGTGGGCGATACATTATAGATTCATTTATTTAACAAATATTTTAATCTTATTTTTTAATTCAACTATGGGGTGCGGCTATAGGGGCCTACAAGACATTGTGCCCAGCGGCCTCTGAATGATTAATCCGGGTCTGGTGATGGGAAATTCAGATGTTTAACGCGGATGCGAGGACTCAACATGATGTAGTCAGCAATAGTCATTTCAGTCAGTTTAAACATCAACATGATCTGAAAAATGTCTTACAGTAAAGTTCTGCAGCACATCTGAATCATGATTCACTTATTTAAACTCCATTATGATTGTCTGTTATGATATAAACTTATGTTTTGCTCCAGATCCTCTCATTAAGCCCTCGGTTTACCCGCGCTGCAGTTACAAGATCAGTCCAGTCATACAGCAGGCTGTACCGTTTGTGTTTGGTTCACTGAATCACGCATGCGCAGTATTATCGGTTCACCGACTCACAGTGTAATGTTACTGTTCTAATAACTGCATAAGAGCGTATATTGGATTATTTACAGTCATTAGGTATTAGGTGTGTTATAAAGTAGGTAGTTGGTGGATAAGTGCTTACTGGAGACACGAATCATTTCAAATGATTCAGTTGGATTTGGTAAACTAGTTCAACCGGTTCACTTAGAAGATCCGGTTACAGAGATTTGTTCGTGATACAGAAATAAACCCATTATTGGGCACAAATGTGTTAAAGTAATAGTTTAAAGTGTCTGTATTTAATGCTGTCTCCGTGCTGCTGTCATGTCCACTCGCTGTTTTTGTCGCGGGAGCAGCAGCGAGGATGACTGGAGGAGAAGCGGCTCGATATTTTTGTGTGTTTGTCTGAGAACATCAGTCATCAGCGACAACAACAAGTCTCGCACCTCCATTGGAAACAACATTGTGTAAACTCGATACACCATATGTGAACGGCTCCTAAAAGGCTGCTGTTATTTGCGATCTCCATCAGTTGATCTTGCAGAGCAGTGCTGGATCAATGACTGTAAAAAATATGGACGACGCGACAGCCCTTTTTCCCATTGAACGCCTTGAGGGCAAAACGCCTGCTTGACGGGCACAAACTGTCGCAAAAGACTGCTGAAATTGGAGCCTTGACATGCGCAGAAGGACTGTCTGATGGAGCCAGAGGAGGAGCCACGAAAATGAGCAGAGTCGAGCTTTCAATCAAACGCTTTATGTAAAATCAACCACGCCCCCCGAACTGCTCAGCATGCGTTTGCTGTCATATCAACACAAATGGATGTAATAACGTTAACAAATATGAGGTTTTTATATATTCAATCGCGCCAGCTCCGGACCGCAGCGCATAACCTTCTCGCGGCGTCGCGGGCTGATTCCGGCTCGCATGCGGCAGCGCCGGCTCGCTCGGCCGCCGCATCTGGCTCGATTGACTCGGGCTGGAATCGGGCAGTGAGTCCAGGCATCCGGAGTAGGTCCAGCAGAGGTAGTCAGTCTGAGCTCTGAGGGGTGAGTCTCCGGCAGGCGAGAATCTAGCCGGAACTGGCCCGAGTGTGTTTTGCTATCTGGGTGGTTAGGCGTGTATCAGCAAACTAATAACGCCCGAAAAAGCCCTGACCTTAGCGAATAAACAGAGTTCCACCAGATCATGTATGTCAGAAACTGTAGTTTACTGCTGAACTCATGTTGTCATGGTAAAATAACACAGAAATGGAGTAATAACATTTCAGTCTCCTGCCGAATCTCAGACGCGCTGCTTTGAGAAACTGTCAATCACAGCTGTCAATCACGATGACACGCCCAGCATTAAATTACTGCTAAAAACAAACTGTTTACAAAAATGAAGATCTGCACCTATTTCAGCACAATAACCAGTGCCTTAATCCACCAGAACCATCTTTCGGGACATTTTATTGCAAGTGTAATTAACTTTTTTATTTGTGCTCAAGTCTCCTTCATTAACACGGAGGAGGCGGGCTTTATGACTTGTACTGCAGCCAGCCCCCAGGGGGCGATCTAACGGCCGAGACCTTCACTCAAACACAGGCTTGCGGCACACTTGTGCTGGATTCACCTCATTTGTGGATCTGGGTTGAGGATCCATTCCTCGGCAGTTGGTGTGTCGTTCACTGGGCCTTTACCCCTGAGCTAAGACACTTTCCAAAGACGCCTGCTTCTTACTCATTCGTGGGTGAAATTGGAGCACTCAAGTGAGCGAGACGCAAGTGAGAGAATACAAAATAAAAGACCGTTCAGACTCTGATAATAAATAAACAGAGATATTGAATGATTTCTGGTGCAGCCGGTACCAAATGATCCACGGACCACTGAGCTAGAGCAGCAGCATATACTGAGGCAACATGATCATTCTGCTAATTATCCACTGCTGAGAAATGTCTAAAACCTGACGCACAGAGCTCGCCGAGGCCCTCTTGTGGGCCGGGACCCCCCCTGTTGGGAAGCGCTGATCTAGAACAGGAGATAGAGAGAATACTGCAGTCAGCAAACC